ACTGCCAAACTGCTTTCCAAAATTGTTGTACCATTTTATTCTCCCATCAGTAATGTATGAGAGTTTCAGTTACTTCACATCTTTGCCAACACTAGATACTGTCAGAACTAAAAAATTTAACCATTCTAATGGGTGTGTAGAGGTATCCCGTGGTTTTACTTTGTATTTCCCTGGTGATAAATGATGCTGAGAACTTTTCATGTCCTTTTTTGCCATCTGATATTTTCTTTTGGGTAACGTCTTTTCAAATCTTTTTGCTGCTGTTCTAAGTTGAATTGTTTTCTTATAATTATGTTTAAGAGTGTTTTTTGGAGGGCTTTCCTGGTGTCTCAGTGGTAAAGAATCTACCTGCCAATGCAGGAGACACAGGTTCGATCCCTGATCTGGGAAGACCCCACATGCCGAGGAGCAGGTACGCCCACGTGCCTCTAGTACTGAGCCTGCGCTCTAGAGCCTGGGAGCCGCAGCTGCTGAGCCCACACGCCCCAGAGGCCGTGCTCCACAAGACCAGCTGCCGCAGTGAGGCCGAGCGCCGCAACCAGAGTACCCCCTACTCAACACAGCCGAAGAGAGATGAACAAAACCATTTTTTAAAGTGGTTTTCTGTTGTTGTTGTTTTGCATTCTGGATACAAGTCCTTTGTCAGATATGTGTGTTAAGAATAGTTACTCTCAGTTTGTTGTCTTTTCATTTTTCTTAACATTAATCCTTGAATGGCAGCAGTTCTTAGGGGTCTTAAATTTTATAAAGTCTAGTTCTTATTTTCTTTGAGAGTTCATACTTCTTTCATTCTGAGAAAAGATTTATTAATACCTATCCTAAGATCAGAAAATTTTCCTCCTGTATTTTATTTTAGGAGTTTTATAGCGTTACATTTGGACCTGCTTACATTTAAGTCTATGATTCATTTCAAGTTAATTTTAGTATACCTGTAAGGGTTAAATTTTGGTGGTTTTCTTTCTTTTTTTTTTGCATACGTCCCCTTGTTTTAGCACCATGTATTGAAAAGATGATTCTTTTTCAGGTGAATTACCTTGTTGAAAATCAATTGAACATACATATGTGGCTCTATTTCTGTTTTTAGTAATGTATGTCTATCTGTAAGCCAATACAGTGGGCTTTCCTGGTGACTCAGTGGTAAAGAAGCCACCTGTGATCCCTGGCCGGGAATTTTCCCTGGAGAAGGAAATAGCAACCCATTCCAGTGTTCTTGCCTGCCAAATCTCATGGATAGAAGAGCCTGACAGGCTATGGCCCATGGGGTCGCAAGAGTTGGACATGACTTAGTGACTAAACCACCACTACCACCACGAAGCCAATACCATACTGTCTTGATTACTACAGCTTTATAATGTCTTGAAGTCAGATAATATAAATCTTCTAGCTTTTTTCTTCCCCAAATTGTTTCAGTCATTCTAGGCCTATTCTATTTCTGTTTAAGTTTTAGAAATAGCTTATCAATGTCTACAAAAGAAAGCTTGCTAGGACTTTGATGGGAATTGCATCAGATCTGTAGATCAAACTGGAGAAGAACTGATGTCTTAATAATATTGAGTGTTCTAATCCATGAACATAGTATATCTCTTCAGTTATTTAGGACTTCTGTAAGTTTTCAGTGTTTCATAGTTTGCAGTGTACAGGTCTGGCACGTATTTTAATTTATTCCTAAATGTTTCAGATCTATTGATGCCATTGAAAATGATGTTTAAATAAAATTTATTTAAAATATATAAATATAAAATACATAAAATAAACATTTATTATTTATTATTTATATATAATAAATATATATTTATAAAATGTATTTTATAAATAAATTAAAAATATATAAAATTCAGATATTCACGGCTAGAAATAAACCCAGTTTTTATATACTGACCTTGTATTTTGCAACCTTGCTGAAAACTAACTTACTAGTTCTGGTACTTTTTTGGGTGGATTCCTTGGGGTTTTCATATTGTGTGCGACATGTCCCAATAGGAAACAAAGGCACATTCACCTTCCTTGAGAATAGCTAGTGTTTCCCTAGTGCTGTGGCGAATTCAAAGGGGCCAGCATTTATGTAACTATAAAATGTTGTTTTTGGTTCCACTTAAATTGTATTTAATTAGCCTGAAATCTTAGAGAAAGGTAAATACTAAATTCTTGAAGTTCAAATGTTAAAAAAATAACATTAATTAGAAGGTTTTTATGAATTTCATTGGGATGGAATTTGATAGCAGTTGTTTTATTTTCAACAGAACTGATTTAACAATTTCACATTTCTTTTTGATGCATATTATATCCATTTCAAAGCCATCTCTTATCATTGCCTTTTCTGGGTTTTCCCTCTTTGATATACCTATTTATGTCTGTTACTTGTGGGACTTTATTTTGGTAGGGAATTTAATGTGCATTTATACAATGAATGCTTATTAAGCATGCAATATCCACTTGGTACCAAGTGCCATGGATACAGTTGGGAGCAAGACAGAAACACGCATTTGTTGTCTTTATGGCGCTTACGTTCTATTCTAGCAAAACAGTGGGACATTGAGTAAACAGTTGTACAAACTATGGAGTTACAGTTTGAAAAGTGCTATAAAGTCATTAAATTTATGAAGGATAGTCCTAACCTAGACAGGCTGTGGGTCAGAGAAGTCTTCCTGAAAGCGGTGACATTTTTGCCCTCTCTGGTAGTTGTGTTTAAAGATTTAGGTAGATTTGGGGGGTAGAGGATTGATGATACTACTTATGTTATTACCCATTTGCCTTGATATATATGATCCAAACTTTTTTCTTCAATAGCATTTCTTTTTTTTTTTTCAATAGCATTTCTATACTCTCTTAGTGGTCATTGGTAGAGTTAAGCCAAGAATCATTAATTAATTCCTTTTCCTTATATGTGTTAGCAGCTACTTCTGCAGCTCTTAAGTCATCATTGTAACTTAGGTCCTTTTACAGCATATACCAGGCAGAATCCCTTGAAACAGGTAGTAATTTTGATATTTCTTGTGACCAGAATTTTATTCTCCTGTCCAGGGATAATAGGGGTGGGGGGAGCCTAAATACTACCCTTCTGTAGTTAGTTTTACTTGATGGCTACAAGTTGCATTTGACTATAGTGAATATAAATATTTGGGAGAATTATAGACGGTATACAGTTATATTTCTTAAGAGTTTCCTCACCTCATTTTGTATCTTTTTAGATTCTCTTTTTTTCTGAGTAGCTTACTTTGCCCTGATTAAGTCCTGAAAGATTATATGAAAGAAGTATAAGATTAAAAATAAAAACCTCCTGTACCTTGCCTACTCTGTATTTTAATTTATTTTGCATATTTGTACATCTCTATGTGTTGCTTTCAAAAACAGTTTATCTGATTGGCCATCTACACATCATTCATCTAATAATTTGCTCCAGAGGTGATTGGTTCCCTGCTTTCTTCCTGTTCTGAAAGTTCTACCTGGTGCTGGCTCTTTCTTTTTGGTCTCATCTTGATTTTTATTGACTTTGAATAGAGAGTCACATTACTTACACCTGTTGAATAACTGTTTACCTCCCTGCTTGAGTTAATGAAAACCAAGTTAGTTAAGAAGTGTTTATTATTCAGATTCTTTTACGTGTGTGTGTGTGTGTGTGTGTGTGTGTGTGATTTAACCTATCCACTGATTTATCTTTAGCTTGTGTGGTGCCCTTATAACATCCAGCTGTTCAGTGCGTTGAAGGAAATTCACATTTGTTTTCACACACACACTTGAAGATTCTTGGGCTATAAAATGTCTCACTCTCTGGATTTCTTCTGATCACTTATTTCTGAAGCCATTTAACTTGTTCCTCTGGCCTCTGTGTTTTCTGCAAAGGGGAACTGAGTTTTAAAGGTTCATCAATTGAATTTAGTTAAATGAAATTTCATCTTAGAAGCTGCTTCTCTTAGGCATGCAGAGCTTTGGGATGGACCCCGGATGCTAACAGAAGGCCTCATCTCCTCTTTGGAAGTACCTGGCATTTGTGTGAAGAGGGCCCAGGAGTTCAGATCAGCACTTACTGTAACAGATTTTAATATGTTTTGTGCTGGCCCCTCGGGATGCTGACTTCCCCACCTGAATCCCCTGATGCTCCACCCCAGGGGGAGGCCCTGGGTCTCCCAGGGTCCAAGAGGAAGTTGCAGCTTCTTGGGAGGTAGGTTAGAGAGTTCAGTACTAGGTTAGGTCATAAGTACTGGACTTCTGCCTTCCCCTCCATGGACTGCATTTGGGGTAAAGTGAAAGCAGGTTGGGTACCCCATTCGTTTCACTGTTGGTGACCCGTCAGTGGCTGGTGGTGGTCAGCTTGTCTACAAGATGAGGTGGAGGTCCTGCCGAGGCCGAGAGGGAATGCTCTAGTAACTTAGTACTTTGTCTCCTGTGACTTTTCACCTAGGCTTTTATTTTCCCAGATAATGAATTTCTTTGAGGGGTGGAAGTTTAAAGTTAAAAACTTTCTGTAAAATGCACAGAGGCCTAGAGGATCACTAATGAACTCTAGAACTGGAAAGGAAGGACTTTTGAGAACTTAGGATCTAGTGTAGGATAGAAATGTGCCTATTTCCCTGGATCTTGCTTTCTGAACAGTTCATATTTTTATAATATAGGTATATTAGTTGCTAAGTCATGTCTGACTCTTTTGTGACCCCATGGACTGTAGCCCGCCAGGCTCCTCTGTCCATGGAATTCTCCAGGCAAGAATACTGGAGTGGGCTGGCATTTCCTTCTCCAGGGGATCTTCCCCACCCAGGGATTGAACCCAAGTCTCTTGCACTGGCAGGCGGATTCTTTCCCACTGAGCCACCAGGAAGCCCATACTTAAGCGTACTCATTGTCTACTGTATGACAGTTTTTATGTTCAGAATATGTTAACCCAGCTTTTATTGGTCATGAATTAGGAAGCACTTCTCTTACCAGAGTGGCATTTTAAGGGAAAGCTACCATCATCTAACGTAATGCCAAATCACGACCTTCCCACTTCTTTCTTTATGGCACAGGAAATCCGGGATCCTCTTATGCAGTGGCTGGGGAAACATGTGGATCCTGAAGGGGTCATAACATCCAGCAAGCTCTCCCTGAAATTCATTTCATCCTACACGTCTGAAATAGAAATCACCCCATCCACCATACCTGTGGTGACTGACATGGAGTCCTTCTCATCAGAAAACTTCAATTTCGAGATCTACCGACAAAACCTGCAGACAAGGAAACTTGGGAAAGTCATTCTGTTTGCCGAAGTGACGCCCACCACAATGAGTCTTCTGGACGGGTAAGTCCTGGCCAGGCTGCTTTCTGTACTTGCTTGGAGGACCCCAGGTACCTTGATGGTTCTCCCCAACCAGTGCTCGGTGAGAGGGATGAAGATTTAGAGCAATAACTTAATGCTATGCTTAAAGTGATGGCTTATTCATAACTTAATAATGAAGATGAGCGTGATAACGCTTTAATACACCACTAGCAATACACCCATCTGTAGATAGAGAAATTAAAGTTCTTGGGTCAGAAATCTGTGTTTTAAAGAATGAGGGACTTCTGTGACTTGTGTCTGTCTTCCTTTAATCTGACCTTTCAGAATGTCTTTGGGAAAAAGAGTATTATGAAAAAAAGGTGTTTGACAGGTGGCGCTATTGTTCACATTGTTCACATTGCCATTTTACTCTGTTATAACCAGTGTTGAGATGTTATAACCAGTTTAAGATGTTTGCGGAGTATTAGCATAGGAAATTTGAACGACTTGTAAGTTGTGTTCAGTTGAAATAAACAGGAGCTTTGTACTTACCTGTTTTGGTATGTTGCTATCCAATGCATTTTTAAAGCACTCTGTAATCCCATTGGGATGTTGGAAATTCAGTCTTATTTCAAGTTTTCCTTCTTATTTCTTCTGTTTCACGGACTTTGATTAAAGGTTAAACAATGGGAAACAGATGAAAGGTTAATTTTAAACTCCAAATTAGTCTGTATTAATTAATACTTTTATGCTGAGATAGATAGTTTAAAAAGTAGGGTTATAGAGGGCATGAATAAGAAAAGCATCTTCCCTCAACATGGGACTAAAAGTTGAGGAATGTAAGACTGCAAAATCCCCCACCTCCTTCACGGTTTCTGGGCACTTTCACCTGTGGAACCGCATAATTAGTCAGATACATAATTCAGCATCTGGAACGTATGGAAATATTTTGGCTTTTCTTCTGAACAATAACTTCTGGAATTTGCTAGTATGTTGATATAAGGTGATGAGATAATTTTAGGGTTTCTTGACTCTCATGCTCAGTCATGGAACCAGCAATTTTAGTGTATGTACAGGATGTAGAAACAGCATTACTCTAGGGGAACTAGCAGTGAGAAGGCAAAGTCGAAAGGGGAATATGAGCAATGGCAATGAATAGGTCTTGTCTCCCGAGTTGTTTTGTGTTATTTTTGTTTTCTTTCAGTGTTGCCATCGTCTCCTGCCTCCACTCCCCAATCCCTGGTGTTCCCATAGAGAAGAAAAAGCTTGTATTTGTACGGAGCAATTATTACTTGCTTGTACAAACTCTGTGATATTTGCTACTCCAGTGTACACTATTATATCAAAAAGGCGACCCATTCCAATCATATCTGCCAAATAAAAAAATCAGACAGAATATTTAACAAAAAATTTTGGGGAGGTGAAATTCAGATAGAAAAACATTGGCACTTCTAGACCATTTTTGTTGTTTTTGTGGACGATAGTGAAGAGTATTTTGTATCGGGGCAATCTTGAAACATTGAGATTATGGTTGCTGGGTTTGGGCAGTGGGCAGTATGTTACCAAGAGGGCTTGTGGGTACCTTGCTAGGGTGGGTGCCAAGAGGTAACCCAAGCTTTTATATTCTCTCTCATTTTACCTGGTGAGCAAAGGAGAGTGTAAATTGGGGCGTGTCCACATATGGGCTCTTTCAGAAGTTGCTCATGATGTTTTTGTTCATCTCCCAGGGCTAGAACATGACCAGATTTACCTCCAAGGACGACTAGGAAATAAATGCCAACTTTGTACTTGGCATTGATGAATCTACTGAAAATTAGGTTTCTATTAACCAGGAGGAGAGGAGGGCAGATATTAGAGGGCAGTTAGAAGTCTTTCTAACTTCTGTTTGTACTTTCTGTTTGTCAGGCTGCTAAAAAATTAGCAGGAGGCCTTTAAGTAGTATAATACCTCATGATGGCCCCATTGCTTGCAAAAGTTAAAATCATAGTTGGAAACAATTATTTTCAGGTAACTCTGGTTTTATTTCGCTGCTTATTCAGTGTCATTAGAGGTAACTTTCTTATGTTATTACAAATCCGGGAGGATTTAGACCGTTTTCTTTGGACAAATTGATGGAGGCTGTGTGTGCTTCTTTGACAACAAGCCCAGTTTAAGCTACTGTGACACTGAGGTAGCACCGAAAGCTTTCATTTGCTCTCTGGTCAGGGGAGCAGGCTGGCCTTGAAACTGTGAACCGCCACCACCACCGTCACCACCTGCCCCAATTAAAGCTCGGCTAGTGGTTCTGTAGAGGGAAAGGCGCTCTGAGGACAGGAGGAGCAGAGGGAAATGTGGGAGTGGCTTGCTGATAACATCAAGGTGTCTGATGGCCCTAGAGACTCGCCCTCCAGTAATAGAGAGCAAAAACCACGGGAGTGAGTGCTGTTTCCCCCATAGTCTGACATGGCAAGCCACCCAGCCAAGTCTGGTTGGAAGAGGTTAATTTCTCCCTGAATCCCCCACCCCAGGCCTTTTTTTTTTTTGTTTGCCATGTATTTCTAACCACGAAAAGCATTTTCTACCTGATGGTCAGGGTAACACAGGGTAAATTCTGATTTCGGTTCACTTAGACAATTCCCACCCCCACCCCCACCCCCCCCCGGAGTTATTTCCTGGTAGCTCTTCTTGTGACCAGTTAGCTCAGCTGGTTGGGGAAAGTCCGACCAGGGCCACGGGTTTAGTCCTGTGTCTGGCCCAGGGAACCTTCCCTTCACTATTCTGTGGTCAGTCCTGTGGCTGCTGACACGGAAGCCGTTTGAAGATGTGAGCTGCCGCTGGCGGTGGGGTTCCAGACCAGGGGGTGTGGATCGGCCAGTGTTCAGCCCTCCCCACTGCTGGACAAGTGCCTCCAGGTGCTGACTCTGGCCTGGTTTGGTCCAGAGGGCTGCACATTTAGTAGAATCTCCTGATAAGCGATGACTGATTGTCAGCTCTGGGGAAGGTGGGAAGGGGAAAACTAGACCTTGGAGCGCAGGCTTAGGGTAACTGAGCCATTATTGGTAATTGTGCAGTTGTCTTTTATTTGAGCAATAGTTCTATGATCAGATGTTGAAACAACTTACTTATGTGAAGCCACAGTGTGTGGTGAGCCAGATTAACACAAACTCATTCATACTGATTCTCTTTGCATCCTTGTATACATCCTGAATGAACTGGCCACACATGGGCTTTTTTTTTTTTTTTGTAAAGAATAATTTAGATTTCTTTGTTAAGTACGTTTATTTTCTTACCATTGTTGAAGCCCTTGATTCTTCAGGCCTAAGTTTGCCTTCATCCTACGTGGAGTAAGCATTTATGGAGTGCTTGCTGTATGCCAGGCCGTGTTAGGCACTGGGGAGAGAACGCGGGGAGCGTACTGCCCTAACCTCACAGTGCCCTAGAGGAAGCGCTTCCCCGGGCACACTCAGTTCATGCACACACGTCTGTGCACCTCTTTTTGGTCTGAGCCTGGGAGTTTGGGCAGATAGAGAGAAGTGTTCACAGTGTATTACATGGCGCTGGGCGAGAAGCAGACTGATCAGTCAAGTTTTTGGAGCAGTTTCTGTGTCAGGCATAAAGCTCACTGTCTAGTAGAGAGAAACACTGTTCTGTGTCAGGCATAAAGCTCACTATGTAGTAGAGAGAAACACTGGACCTGAAGATTCCATCACTCGCTGGCTCTGTGACCTTGGCATCCTCACCCTCTTGGGCCTTGCTCTCCTCAGTTGTGCGATCTGGGCATGAGAAGCACCCCAGCTCCTGCGAATGGAGTGATCCTGGAGTCAGAATCCTAAACCTGCCCGCCTTCCTTGCTCTCAGTAACCTCCAGGCCTTTTAGAGGGCGAAATGGTTTTGTGAACTAGCTTCAGCGTCCACTGAGGAAACCTTGTATGGTAGGTGGTGGACTTTTCTACAAGCGGAGGGAAAGTCAAGGAGTAACAGTCCACTTAAGTCATTAAAAAGTATTCGGGTGAAATAGCACAGGGGAGAAGAGCCAGCATCGTTTAGGAAAGATAGTATTTTTTGTGTCACAGTCGGGCTTCTCACCTCTCTGCATACGTGTCCAGTCAGCGCCTAACATCTCCTTTCGCCTTTCTCAGACGCGTCCGCCAGTAGCATCTCCTTCCGCTTTTCACATACGTGTCCCGTCAGGCCCTTATGTGTCCCGTCAGGCCCTAACGTCTCCTTCCGCCTTTCTCAGACGTGTCCCTTCCGCCTTTCTCAGACGTGTCCCATCCGCCACTAGCATCTCCTTCCGCTTTTCACATACGTGTCCCGTCAGGCCCTTACGTGTCCCGTCAGGCCCTAACGTCTCCTTTCGCCTTTCTCAGACGCGTCCCTTTCGCCTTTCTCAGACGCGTCCCGTCCGCCACTAGCATCTCCTTCCGCTTTTCACATACGTGACCCGTCAGGCCCTTACGTGTCCCGTCAGGCCCTAACGCCTCCTTTCGCCTTTCTCAGACGTGTCCCATCCGCCACTAGCATCTCCTTCCGCTTTTCACATACGTGACCCGTCAGGCCCTTACGTGTCCCGTCAGGCCCTTACGTGTCCCATCAGGCCCTAACGCCTCCTTTCGCCTTTCTCAGACATGTCCCATCCGCCACTAGCATCTCCTTCCGCTTTTCACATACGTGTCCCGTCAGGCCCTAACGTCTCCTTTCGCCTTTCACATGCGTGTCCAGTCAGCCCCTAACTTCTCTTTCCGGCTTTCTTCTCTTCCGACTCTGCTCCCCTAACTTGTTCTACTGCGCACCCTCCTCCCCACAAGGGGAGGCCTGAGAGGACAGAAACTGGGCTGGAACTAATTTAATGGCTGAGTGACCGCACAGGAGAGAAACAGCCGGATCCTAATAGGGGTCTTTGTCTACATTTCCACCCTGGCTGGTAGCATGCCAGTCAAGAGTCAAGCTAGAGACACAGGTGGAAGCGATTAGACCTGTCATAAAGTTTGAAAAATTGATTCTGGAGGCGAAGTGAATAGATTGAACTTGACAGTGTTGTCCTAAAGATTCTAAGGGAAAAT